AATTAAATATTCATTAATAATTTTCGGAAAACATTTAAGAAATCGATAAAAAAACATGTAGAGTGTCAGTTTACAAAGATTAAAATAATTAAATAACACTTCGTAAAATATCTCTATTAGAGATTAATTATAATGACGGTTCTATTTTTAAGATTTTACATGTGAGTAAATTTATAGATGTAAATGGTTGAATCAATTCTATATAGGTATTTAATGAATTCATTCGTCGCAATCTTAACCACAATAATTTTCAAAGATAATAAAAATCAATAAACAATTTAAAAAAAAGATACGTTTTTTTAATCTTTTTTCTACACAAATCAGTACACTTTTTTTAAATCGCCGTATCCTTTCCCGCTTGACGAGATCAATTCTTTAAATCAGCGAAACTTCGTCCTGGAACACTTGTTGACAATCAACAAGTTTTCAGATTGCACGAAAGTATCGCTTTGACGAGATTCAGAATCGTGAAGGCACGAAACATAACGGAGTTGTTGTTCATTCAAGCAATCAGACGACGACGTCCTACTTGAACAATGAAGATAAAAAGGTCCACGATTTATTTTCTCTCTCTCTCTTTCCTTTCTGCTCCGAACGGCTTTTAAGCAGGAACATTTCGCCTGCCGGCCGATACATCCTATCGGCAGTCATACATTGTAGGTATCGTTATTTTTCGTTTTGTTTTTTGGTTTATTCTTTCTTTATGCCGTATCATCATTTAATGAAGGCGTAGTTCTTTTGTGTAGTTTTGCATTCTCGTTGGTTCGTTGCACATGTGTAGGTACGTCTGTTGATGTATAATTTTCGTCTTATTTCGTTTTGTAATTAGTTACTTATGTACACAGGCTAATAATATTCCTTCAGCTGACTGCAAAAAGTGGAACGGGCTTTTTTGCCCGCTCTTTGTAGTGGTTAAGTTCCTATGAGCTGGTGATCCAATAGAGGACTTCTATACAAGGGAAGTGCAACCAACTTGACAAAATAAAATTGACACTAATGACATAAGAAATCGGGTCATATGAAGAGGCTGTTTTTTAGTTTGCTTTTTGGTTTTTCCTATCTACTTTCATGCCATTTGCATACCTTGTTGTACCCGTAACGTGAAAAAGACTTTTTAGCTTAGGGTATTTTACATTTAAAGGTTGAAACATTTTGTCATTGTCAGCTGTCAATTATGTTGATGGTAGAACACAGGCGTAACCATGGATGGACATTACGTAACTAGTATTGTACGTTGGTTGTATATTGTATAGAACTTGTATTCGTAGCAGGAGCATTTTGCAATCGACATAAATAAATAATACCAAATGAACAAAAATGTTTCAAGATAGCGGGAGAAACACAAATAGACTATTAACAACAAAAAATAAAATGCAATGCTACGCTTATGTTTTGACATTATCGACAGCTGATACTGACAAATGTTTTCGACCTATAAATGTAAAATACCCTTTAATAAAAAGTCGTTTTTACGTTACGGGTACAACATGGTATCTAAACGGCATAAAAGTAGATAAGAAAAACCAAAACTTTAACAAAAAACAGCCTTTTTATGTGATCTGATTTCTTATGTCATTAGTGTCAAAAAAAATTGTCAAGTTGGTTACATTTCTCTTGTATAGAAGTCGTCTATTGTACTATGTCATGTCTCAGCGGTGTCAGCGATAATGTGACCTGACAAATTCAAAGTTGTGCATCGATGGTTTCTTTTTGTCCGCAATGAGGTCCTATAGACGCCGAGAACAATAAAACAATAAATTTGCGGGCATTTTTTGTAGTTTTTAGTAATTTTATCCCATTTGACATAAATTATGTTGTTATCTTTTTTACGAAAACCCGGGTGAATAAAAGGCTGAATGGGATAAAACTATTGAATAAAAATGTTCACAAGGGCAATACTCTGCACATATTTAAAAAAAAAAAACATGTTACTTTGTGTCAGGTTGCTAAAACACCAAAAAAATGTCCGCAATATTATTCTAGGATCCGAAAACCGCGTTTAATCTATATCCCAAATTTCTTTGAGAAAGTAAAATCACAGTCACGAGATCGGAATCCCTACACCGGAAGTTCCAAAACTGGATGACAGGAAACGTATTTTGTATTGTTCTCTAGGTCAGGAAGCAAATATTGCATTGCTGGTAAAAAAGCAAAAATCCATCGATGCGCAACTCGCAAGTCGTATGAACGTGCACACTGCCGGGACATAGTATAATTTTTTTATTCCCCTCCTCTGCACCCAACTACAAAATGCTGCAAAAAAGAGACACTTTTTACAGTCAGCTGAGAAAGTATACGTGTAAATTACAGGGATGATTAGGGCCGTCTTAAACCATGAGTACACAAGTTCGAGTACCATTTTAACATACAAAAAAACGAGAATGAAAATATCTATATGTACTTTTGGTCTGTCGTTAGTTGTTATTTTTAAATAGCTAAAATTTCGTCTACAGTCAGAGTGACAGTAAAGTACTCACATACTTTGATTACAGTACTTACGACAATTTGAAATAGTCGAAAGCTTAATACTATAGTCTGTACGCACTTCGTAGAATAAATTTTGAATGAAAAAAGTTGTATTATTAAAAAAAAATAAAATAAACCTTATGCTTCTGACAATATTATTGCACTTTAACATTGAACGAATTAAATTTAACCAAAAAATAACAAGGAGGATTATATGTTGTTAATGGGATTAAACTTTTTTAATATCTTGGTATTAAAAGTAACAGTACTTTACAAAGGAAGTCTGCTTTTTTTATAATTCTTGCACTTTAATTTATTTTTTTTTTAGTAGTTCTTGGGTTTTTAGGTGCCTGTAGATTCGGGATATTTATACTGGATATTTATACTTTAAATAAAAATCGTGTGTTTTTTGTTAAAGCTTTCGGTACTGATTCAAAGCCTTCTTCAACATTATTTATCATTTTTTTTCTTTTAATTAAACATTGTTTTTTTTTGTTAGTGCATTTTTGCATATTTGTATTAGGTACCATAATTTTGTTGTCATTATGCTTCTCTAAGTATCCCTAGCTTATATCTGTGTCCGATAAGATTTGGACTTTCTCTATCCCGAGATCGCGGCACGGACAGACAGCTTTGGCAGTTTAATATAGTAAGATTCCCTATTTTATATAACTTACGTTATAAGATTCCTTTGGTACAGATTGGGGTGTGTCTTTTAAACTAAACTAAACATTTTTTATCTTCTATATTTAGTCCTGTCCGTTATTTTTTTATTGTTGGTTTGGTGGAAAGTCATGTTAACTCAATTTTAAATATCTAACATTGCGTAGGTTTCAAAAGTGTGTGAAATTCAAAAAGCCCACATTGAACATTTGTTGTAAGTAATTTCAAATTTTTATATACCCTCTTTAACTCCCTCTAGCCCATCTTCATATTTGTACTCCGAATTTTATTTGATTTTTAAATTAAAAAGTAATATAATAGTGTCACGCATGTTATATTTTCAAATTGTTTATTTAAATAACACCCTATACATTATGTCGTGAATTTGTTTTAAGTTGCAATCATATACAAGGTTGATTTTTTAATAAGTATTAAAAAATAATTAAATAACAATAAATTATAGAAAGTTATAACAGTAATCTCGAGGAGACGGGTATGGCATTTTCCACAGGTCAGGATTCTCTCTGATGGAGACCCTTCTTATAGGAGATTCCCAGGAAGCTCGGACCGGACCCTCTGGACCTTGATCGTGAAAGATTAAAGGTTTGTTGTAAAAACGATTAGGATCCAGTCACTGACACCAGGATTCTGTGCAGTAGATTACTGGAACTGCCAAATTATCTACTGCGCAGAATCCTGATGTCAGTGACCGATTTCCGACTGTTGTTGGAACAGACCTTAAGAGTCTATTTTTGTTTTGAGATGGGGTGTATAATATTTTATATAAATACATAAATACAACAAAATAGGTCTCAACTCGACATACAGAAATATGTGCTGAGTACAATAAACAATATACAAAGTTAGATACACTTACCAACTCCAATATGTAAAATGTAAAACATAAAAACCCCGACTCAAAACAAAAGCCGACTTTTAATCTTTCACTGTCAAAATTCAGTGCCTCCGGCTGGAGTCTCCGCGATCTGGAGCTGCTACTGGAATCTCCTACTAGGAGAGTCTCCTACAGAGAGAATCCTGCCTTGTGGAAAAAACCTTGGGCGTATCCTCGGGATTACCTTTATAACTGTCCAATAGTGTGTTGTTATTAAACTAATGTTTAATAATTATTAAATAATCAAACTTGAACATAATTGCAACTTAAAACAAATTCACCAAACAACTAAAACAGGTTTTATTAATAGGGTGTTATTTAAATAAATAATTAATTTCCAAATATTACATGCGTGGTCAATAGTTCGGTATTTTAAGGAAGCCAAAGGTAAATTAAGAAGTAACAGCTAATTTCTCCAATCAACAAATATTATGTATAACATGAATGGTACTTCGGCTTATGAAATAATTGTACTTAAATATAAATATATAAAAATAGAGCAAAAATCGATAGAATGGATTAGTTTAGACTGATTTTAAAAAATTGATAGGTTATTAATTTCTAACCATCATACCAACCATGGTTTGTTCTGGTTTTCACGAAAACGTCAAAATAACAACAAACTTAGGTATGTACTACATTTTTTAAGTGAGTGCAAACAAAGGCAACCCTAGCTATTGTCAAAGAGAAGGCTATCAGCTTTCATTTGAAACTAATTGCGACAAAATAGAAGCACCCTTCGTAAAACGCGCGAGTAAGCGTCTAAATAAAAGCATGGTTGGTGTGGAGTTTAGCATAATAATCTGTCTCTTCGATTTATTTGCAGTCGCTACTAGACTAACAGCTATTCCTTGAATTTTAATAGAACATTTTCTATGGTGCGCACTTATTAGTTCTTATTTTTTAAAAACGGTATATATCCAAATTAAGTAGACCATTTCACAAATTTGATAAACTTTTAGATATGTTGACTTACCTTAAAAGGAGCATTCGGAACGTACAACGATGGATCCTTGGCACTCCCAGCCAGTTTCTCGTTAACAGCGGGAATCCCATCATCCATATCACAAACACTATATCTTCCCACGATCCCATCGGCCGGTTTAGGTTCGTATCCCACCGGCTGTCCCACACAAAACCCTTTGGCCTTCACCCAAAAGCGAAACTTACTGTTATCAGCGCTCACTATTTCCTCACCGCGTAACGTGCGCAAAATTCTCGCGTACTTTTTCAACGTTATGGTCTTCGTCTTTGCTAGATCGCCGTAGGTTTGTATGACCCATGGCTGATAAGTCGCCAGCATGTCTTCTTTGTTATCGGCGCTGCTACGGTGCGGACGATTTTCATTATTGTTCTGTTCGGAACGCGATTTGGGGGGCGATTTCTTTTTACTAGGCTTTTTTGGAGGTTTTTGGATTAGGTGGTCGGCGTCAGGCATTTTTGGTATGGTCGACATTGTGGTTTACAATGGCATTTCAATGACCACGTAATATGGTTGAAGAGAACCTGTAACAAGTAAAAAACCAATAATAAAAAATACATCGTTTAAACAACTAACTATACTACTTATCAAAAAGATGTTCAAAAAATCAATAAATACTAAATAATTCGAAGAAGGAAATAGATATTTTAAAATCGATCACTATTAAAATTAACTTTGTGAGACAAAAATTACTTTTTTTATCACCTTCCTAAGTATTCCTTACACTCACATACGACTACCCTCACCTACAATCATTTTATTTGTGTAAACTAAGTATCTTTAAATAAAACACTAAAAAAATGTTTTTCTACACCCACATGGATAATAGCTAATTGAAGGACATGGTACATCAAGAAAAAGTTTGTTATTGCGTTCAAATACAAAAGGCTGAATTTCACCATTCACAGTTCATATTTTTGTCACCCAACTATTATTTCTAAAATTTTAAATAAGTGACAATTCTGTCAAACTAATTGTCACTATATTTTTTTAGTTATTGAAATTAATTATACGGAGTGGCCCAAAAGTCTGGAAACGGTCAATTATCTCGGAAATTCCTAGTCCTAATTGTACAAAATTTGGGGTACCCCTATTTTGGGATACGGAGATTCTAGATTTGATATTTGCAATGTTGCCAGATTTGCCGTTTCTCTTATATTATTAGTCACTTTGGTTTTTCAAATTCATCACCCTGTATATTCAGTCATTATTGGAATCTCCTATTCAATACGAGTTCAACCATATGTAACACTTATGATTTTATGTAGTCTGGAAGGTCTTAAATAAATAAAACAATCATGGAGAAATGTGGTAGACGCATTCTACCTTTGATTAGGGTACTGTCAACTCACAAATCACAAATGGAGCACATTTTGAACACTTGATAAAGTAACCATTATGTTAAAAATGTAATCTTTCAATTGTTACGTTTTAATGTAGTTGAAAATAGTTTGTATTAAAAAATTTATTAAGACAATTAGACATTGCCAGACTTCTGTTTTATTTAAGACCTTCCAGACTACATAAAATCATAAGTGTTACATATGGTTAAACTCGTATTGAATAGGAGATTCTAATAATGACTGAATATATAGGGTAATGAATTTGAAAAACCAAAGTGACTAATAATATAAGAGAAACAGCAAATCTGGCAACATTGTAAATATCAAATCTGAAATCTCCGTATCCCAAAATTGGTGTGCCCCAAATTTTGTACAATTAGGACTAGTAATTTACGAGATAATTGGCCGTTTCCAAACTTTTGGGCCACTCTGTATATTAAAATGAGTTATTTTTGTATAGAATCGATAAATAATAGTATTACTATTTTTATTTGGTCCATATTTTGAAATTAAATTTTAATCAAACTATCAGCCGATTTTAAATCGTACATTAAAGTCTTTATTAAGTATTTGTTACTTAAAGTTAAATTTTAATTAAAAAATAAAGCGTTTTTCAAGCAGTTTAAACTGACAATTTTAGCATTTTTTTGGAAGGTTGGTGTTGAATTTTGGTAATCTCTAGGAATTATGAATCAATATTAAATCAAATAGAAGTTTTGTTGGCACATAAATGTTTTTAACATTCTGTAATATTATTTGTAACATATTTTAAACTGGAAATGGAAGAGGTGTTAAAAAAAGTACCTAGGGTTCTAAGGTTCAATTAAAATGTGCTAATAGCATTATTTCAAATATTGTATACAACCAAAACGAGCTACAAAATTTAGCGAAGAAGAGGAACATTTGCTTGTTGCTCTCCCATACAGCACACATTATGTCAGAAATGTTTCAGAAATATTTCAAACGTTTCAAACACATAACATTTCAAGCACAAGTTTCTGAAATATTTTAAGTAAATATTTCACTGAAAATGTTTCTGAAACATGGCATACATATTACATAAAAGGTTACTAAACGGGTTATGTTGTAAAAGGCCAACAATTAATGAAGTTTTTCTGATTTGTAAGAAGAAGATGGGATATGTAGTTATTTTCATATCATGTCCCTGTCCAGCCACCAGCTAGAAACAATCCTATATTCTAAATAATTATAGATTTTAGTTGTTAGTTTTTGATATTCATGGGTTGTGAACTTGTTATATGGGAAGCAGAATAATGTCTTTAGAAATTAAGATGGGAACTACATAAATAATGCTTGCTTAGGTGGATCTTCATGTTTTGTTTAGATATGAGTATTGTTTTATTATAGTTAATTTAAAACAATATTAATAAAACTATTGTTAATCAAATAATTTGTATAAATCCTTTTTAATTACCTATATTTTGTTTCAGATTAGTGCATTTAAAGGAATTGGTGGAAATGAAGCAATTTGCCAGCTTTGGGACTGTGCCAGTAAAAATAACATCCAAGGTATTCAACGTTTCCAGAATAAAGTATTAAGGAACATCATCGATGCATCCTGGTACTGCCGTAATACTGATCTTCATAGAGACCTTAAAGTGGAGACTGTTGAAAATACAATACAAAAATTTGCCAGTAGTCACCAACGACTGCTCCAACATGGAAACCTTGTGATTATCCAGCTCCTCAATAATGCCAATCTAATAAGAAGACTCAAGAGAACCAGGCCTTTTGAGTTAGTTCAGTGATGTTAGATTAAAACACAGCATCGTACGGTTAAGTGTTATACGTTAACGGTAGTGTAACTAAATAATTAGACTCTAAAGTACACTATACAGTGAGTAGTTTATGAATTTCGTCCCTAGATAAGTTGGGTAAAAATAAAATTGCTAATAGATCTTAAAGATTAGATTATAATAATCGTAAATGTTTCTTTACTTGGAGCATTTATTAAAAAAAACCTAGTTGTTTCAAATTAGTGCATTTAAAGGAATCAGTGGAAATGAAGCAATTCACTTCTATATTTTATGAAATATTCTTTAAAACATATTTATTTGTTTGTTTGTTTGTTTGTTTTAGAATCAATGTTTGAGTTTTGTGTATTTTAAATAAACATGTATATTTTTAAATGTGTTTTTTAGTCTAATAATATATTAGAAAAATAAACTAGAATACATTTCTGAAATATTACTATTTAATATTTCTAAAAGATTTCTAATTTACATTTCAGAAATATTACTGTGAAATATTATATTTAGAGGACATTTTTACGTTTCAGGCATATTTCAGAAATGTTTCTGGGATGTTTCGCAATATTTATACAACACTGCAAATGTTTCAACGTAACATTGTTGAAATATTTCTGAAGTGTTTGTGCTGCATGGGCTGGTCTGGATAGTATAACAATATCATTGAGTCCAAAAAATCTAGGGCATTTAGGTTAAATATTGGTACGAATTTCATCTAGCTGGCACATTTTCTACAGAATTTTTTAAAAGTAGAAACCTATCAAAAAATCTTTTTTGTCAAATTCTTCTAATCCTAATGACTGTTGTCCTTCGAGGTTCATCATCGCTAGAATACGCATTTATATAGTAATTCCAGTAAGCCATAATCACAAAAGCATATATTAGTGTTTTAAAATTTTACTGTCACTTTCCAAAAAAAATGGGGTTAAAAACTTATAATTAATTCGTTAAATCACCATGTCTATTAACTTAATTCAAAGTTAAGTTGTATTTAAATTACGAGTATTAAAACTAAAATCCGAAAAGTGGCGGTGGAGATGAGGACAGAGCATCTGCCTTCCACGCGAAACATCCGGGATCGAATCTGGGCTGGGAACAAATGAAATTAAATTATATTAAAATTAGTTTTGTTGTCTTAATAACCTAAAATATTTTTTTAAACTCGTAGATTTTCGTTAGTGGGTTGTAGGAAAAATATATTGTAGAACTCGAGTGGATTATCCATATCCACTTTTGCTGCACAAACTACTATTTCCATCATTAGGTACATTATTTGGTAATAACTCACGTAAAATAATTTGTCTGAGTCTACCATTAAATTTACTTTAATCTCTAATGCAATTTAGCAAAGTGTTCTGCTACACGCACCGAAATCAACGCATGTGAAAGTTCGTGTGAATGCCACCATTTAAATAAATGTACGTATTTCACTGCCGCACGTCATGACGCAAAATTTGCAGAACTGCAAATTGTACGTCGTGCGCATTGAGACTTAGGATCCATCTTGTTTCTATTTTTTTACCGTAGAATTACCATTTGAAATTTTTGCTGGTAATTTTCACATTACCAGAGAGTAATTATCGATCAGTGGTTAAACATTTAAATCCTGTATTGGTGTACCCTACGGATCAGTTCTGAGACCACTACTAGTTATCATACACATTATTATAATAGTTCTACTGAACCAACATGAACAAATGTCAAAAACCTGGTTTAGTAGTAACCTATTTTACTCTCTTAGGGCGATTTGTACAAAAAATGCAGTAAAATCAGTTAACTAACAGGAGTTACAGTTGTAACTGGTTATATTCAAAGTACAAACGTCATTTTTAAAACTATGTTTAACAATAACAACGAGGTTCACAGTTTATTCCAAGATTACATTTTAACTGACTGTACAGGTTCTAGAAATAAATAATCCAATTGGCTCTTTTCTAAATGATAAATACACACTTTACACTGTACCGCATAAAACCCCAAATTAGTAAGTAGTTCATTAGACTATAGAAGAAAAGTACAATCATTCTTAGGTGTTTCTTTGTAGTGCCTGGTAGAATTTATGTAGAACTTTGTCGTACGGCACTGGCACAAGCGAATTAACTTTTTCTACAAGTATCTGTAACGTGTGGAAGGTGGGTTACCCCGACGGTACTGAGGCCTCACTAGGCCCATACAGTACTAGGTGTCACAGATCAATAAAAAGTTCTGTCAAATTTCAACTTTAAAGTAAGTTATATCTGAAGTAAGACACCTTTTACTCAAGCATGTTTTGGATCAATCGTAATATTTTAAGCCAGAGAATCCCCAATTGATCCTTTATTAACAAGAATAGGTATTAATTACATATTAATACCTAATAGTTTTGAAAATTAAATTTACATATTTCCTTAACTTGATGATAATGTTTCCGTCATATAAAATTTAAGTACTCTCTTGTCTGACTTAATAATTAATGATAAAGTATATAATTTTCACACAAATCTCTAATATTCAGTAAATACATGTGAGCTTTAGTATATTCATTTTACTAAAAAAATGACCGATCAGAGTATTTCGGTCACCCGTTATCATCTCTGGTAAAATTCTCTATGTATAATTTTCACTCTTACTAAAACGATCACAGTATTTCGATCACCAGCTATTTTTTGCCTTCATTCTTTGTTAATATTATTAAATTGCTTACCTTATTAATCAAAATAAGCACACACAGATGTAGGTACCAAAAAATCCCAAAAAAACTTCACAAATAACCAACAAACACCATCCAAAACTGTCAAAAACTCTGAATTACGACGGAAAATTGTTGACTCGTCGCTATAGCAA